TATTAAAAAAAACAATTTACCCTTGTAATTATTTAACATATTGCCTTACATGTACTCCTATAAATACCTATATAATTTGTTGGAAAAAAATAATAATAACAACAACAATATTACATGTTAGAATTTCTTTGTATATCATTGTATTATTACTCGGCCCTTATTCTTTTAAATTGTAAGTAGATCGTAATTAACAAAAATAATAATTACTTAATGACTCACAAAATGAACAAACCCTACTAGCTACGTAAGTTTTCGAGTTCAAATCTTCAAAATGAATAATGCATTCCATTAATTGTTCCGATTATCTCTTTTGTATTTATAAATTTTTAACTTTCATTGATAAATATAATCGATAATATTATCTAAACCAATCTTGAATATTGTTGAGACATGCAAAATGAGAAAATCGGTTCCACGTGTGTTAGAATCTTTCCCAATCCTTATTGAATCCACAATCAATCAAACATAGTACATGCATAAGATATATTATATATATATGTCTGTAAGTAAATTAAAGGTTTATAAGATTCTGCTTCAGTAGGTAATTAATCACGATTTCGATTTCGATTTCGATTTCGATTTCGGTATTCAGCAACACAGTGATTCGTGCCATGAAAACAGTCCTAATGAAATTACAGCACCAAACATTATGAATATAGATTTAATGTATATATATATAAATATATATAGAGAGAGAGAGATTCATTTGAGGCTCACATGAGTTCGCAAATCAAAACTGAAAAAAAAAAAATCAAAATCAAAACTACAAACAATTGCAACTTATAAGCATAATCATATTTTTAAAAATAGGGTAAACTATTTTTTAATGTTCCGACCTTCTTATCATTTTAGTCTCGCAAACTAGTCTCATAATTGAAAAAAATTCGCTGTTTTAGTCCTCCGGTGCCGGAGACGCCCGCTGTTATAAATTAAAAATAAATTTTTAAAAAATTAAAAAAAATTAAAAAAGTAAATAAAATCCACGTGTCCGCCAGGTGTCGCTGACCTGGCGGACACGTGGATTCCAGCGAGTCACGCGAGCGTCTCCGGCGCCGAAGGACGAAAACAGCGAAAATTTTCCACTTATGTGACTAGTTTGCGACATGCTCCATTTACGGGACTAAAATGATAAGGGGTCCAGTTATGGGACTAGAAAAACGGTTTACCCTTAAAAATAATATTTTATGTTGAAAAAATTAAAATTTTCCAAATGTATAAAATATTATTATACTCTCATCTAAACTATGCCCAATTTGATTGGACATGAATTTTAAGAAAATAAAATAAAAATAAAATTTATTTCTTTGTTATAATAAGGAAAATTAGAAAAAATAACATTTTTACTAAAATGGGGGATTTTTTTTTTTTTATATAACAACTAAAAAAATGGATAGTGTTAGGATTTATTTTACTAATTATGGATTAAGCAGTTATTTCGTCAGTTATTCAGGAATACTTGAGTAATGTTGTGTCAGTTTTAATTCGTGGAGTAATAGACTCTTCTTTCTTGCTTTTCAGTTGTTTTTTGTATGGTAGTATTTAGCCAAATTTTCTCTCCAAACGTATTGAATGAGCGAAATTTTTCATTGCTTGTTTTATTCAACAGATAGAAGATAGAGTATATATTATACTTTTCATATTTATGGCAATCGTGTCACCCAAATATAAGTTGGATGAATAAACCCTATATTTTAGCATCTTTTCAGTTTATATTTTTATAATTTTTATGTGAATGGTATTGTTATAGTTTTTCTTTTTTTTAAAAAAAAAATGAGAGTGGTATTGTTCGTAGTTTTAAACTAAGAATTATATTTATATGTAATTAATATAAATTAATTTTGCAAAAGATAGAGAATTTTATAAAAATCAAAATTGAACCAGCACATCATAAAATAATAATAATAATAATTAAGGTGACTGATTTTCTCATACAAATATTCATTAATCTTGAATTTTGGGTTCTATTATGAGGTTGACAAATTGGCATATGTAATACTCTGTCCCTCCCAAATAATCATGCAATATTTTTTTTTAGTATATTTCAAATATCTTACAATATTTTTATTACAATAAATAATTAATTATATGTAATTTCAACTTCACATATCATTCAAATAAAAAAAATAAATAAAATATACACTTCTTTCTTTATTATATCACTTAATTTGTAAATTACTTTACTTAATATTTTTTACCTAAAATTATGTGCCGAACTCAAATGTTACTTATTGAGACAGAGGGAGTACATCATACAAAGATAGTTAAATCGTGATTGTTCCTTGAAAATCTCATAACAATAATAAATCTATTGCTCAAATATTTGCCCAGTGGTCCAAAATCCTTAAAAGAAAACTATATATACACAAAATAAGGCACAAAGGGATCACATAAAATGGTGTCGACCTGGCAAAATATAAACTCTTATGGAATTTAATAGCATGCAACTTAGATTAAATTGAATTAAATAACCTAACAATTAGACTATATGTTCAATTTCATTAAATTTATTTATTAATATAATCATAATATTATATATATTTATAAAATCAGGTCGGATCAAGCATGATCCGACTACAATGGACCCGGACACGGCCCAATTCATTGTCATGCTATGCTAGGCTAGGCATGGCGTGAAATATTTTGGGTCAGTTCTTTTTAGGCCAAATCACGATATTTTTTCATGTCAACTTTGAATCAAATTTTCAAGCCATGTTTATTTTATTCGGGCGCTAGTAAATTTTACCAGAAATATGCCAATTAAAATAGGATAAATTAAAATAGAAAATATTTTATTTATTTTGGAGCGTGAGTAATTTATTATTTTTACATTAATTTATATTAATACATAAATATAATTGTTATTTTTTATATTACATAAAAGTTTATTATTTACAAAATAATACTATATATTATTTATATTTTTCTTATAAAATATAAAATTTAAAATATTTCAATACATAAATTTTATTTATTTTTTAACGAATATTTTTAGTAATTGTTTTATTTCATATTATCAATTATTACAATATCAAAATTCATCCAAACAACATATTACTTTTTCATTTCCTTTTTTTTCAAACTCAAATAAATTCCCAACAAATGATCAAAAATAGGACCAAATTGATCATTTTCAGAAAGAACGCGAAGAACATTTTAAAAATTTGTCAAGAATTTAACCCAAATAAAAAAAAAATCACTTCATGAGGAAAGTGATAAACTTTCTTTATTAATTTATTGTTGTTAAAAATGGATCCGAGCTTCCAACTTAAAATCAATTGACAATAAGTACACGGGTCCTTCACCTTTATAAATCAAGGGAGTTCCCACATCATATCCAACGTGGGATTCGAGATGATAATCTCGAAAATTCATACAGGATCAATATATATCCAATATTGGCACCAAGGCTCTGATACTATCTTAAAAAGGGATTCGGACTTCCAACCTAAAATCAATTGGTGATAGTTAAGTGAAAGGGGTCTTCATCCTTATAAACCAATAGAGTTCCCACATCATATCCAATTTGAGATATATTCAACACCCCATCGAGACGATAATCTCAAAAATTCATACGGGATCAATATCTAACATCGACACCATGGCTCTGATACCATCTTAAGAAAGAATTCGGACTTCCATCCTAGGTTATAAACCAAGGGAGTTCTCACATCCTATCCAATGTGGAGGGGCTGTTCTGTTAGATTGGGAAATGTACATTATTATTTGCCGATATTTAGATAGGGAAATATTTATATTCCTAACACGTTCACCCCAATCCTGTGTGTTCCATCCCTATGCGAGTTGGTCCTTCCATCACCCGAAATGGGAGCACCGGTATTGGTTTAAGCATCATGTTTGGTTCACCACAGTTTGGATCGACATTTACTTTCACGGCTGTTTTCAGTAATAGCTCCTCCTCAAAATTTCAACAAATCAATCAGCCAGCCATTCAACAGTTCTAAGTTTAACTCTATTTCATCGGAATTTCATGGAATGAGAGCACTGCTAGTAGAATCCAACCCTGTCCCTGCTATGGTCTCCAAATATCACATCCAACGGCTTGGAATCCACGTCGAAGTGGTTTCTGACTTGAATCAAAGCTTCTCTGGCGTAATCCCCTCGAACATGGTTTTCATTGAAGAGGAAATCTGGAATAGGGATATATATATATATATATGTATGTCACTTTCGATGTTGAGAAGGAACAATTATGGGCTCGCTCCTAAACTATTGCTTCTATCAAATTCAACAAGCAGTGTTGTTCAAGCCGGTTTTTTCAGATTCTGATGTTTCCGCGCCATTTGTTGTCATGAAACCACTAAGAGCAAGCATGCTTGCTGTTTCATGGATATTCGGATGCCGGAAATGGATGGATTTGAAGCTACAAAGTGCATTAGGGAGATGGAGTTAGCATAAAATAATAGGATTCATTCTTAATATGATATCAGAATCATATTAACTCCTTTGGTTTATAAAGGTGGAGGGCTACCTTACTTATCACTATTGATTTTAGGTTGAAAATCCAAATTCCTTCTTAACAATTACGGGGCGATATGTACCTTGAGTTGGGTAGTCTTGTCCATTGGATTGTCAAGTGAAGAGCGAAATTGAATTTATTTATATTATACTCCCTCTGTCCCCGCGTGACATTTATATTTTATGTCATTGTATTAACATTAAAAATATTCTTATATTTGTATAATTTTTTTTTTTTACAAATGTCCTATTGGTATTATACCGCAATAACTGAAGTATTTTTGTAATTTATTCTTAATTTGTACTATGTTTTTGATATAATAATTAATATTCGCAAAAATAAATGGGATATTAGAGTTGGACCGGAGGTAGTATTAAATAATTATTTAAATTTACAATTTTATTCTTTTAAATTCAAATCCAAAAATACAATTTTCCAACAAACACGCCAAACTAAACATTTTATTACTCAAATTGCTCAAGACTAACAATTCCAACATTATCATTGTAGAATCAACCTTAGAAATAAGAAACAGAGAGCAATACATATTTAACCATGAAAATAAAAGCTCATTATCGAAAGCAATAACTTCGAATTACATATCGATCCTTATTCAACAGGCAAAGGATTCCTGACCATGGGGATAACGTGCAATGGATTTTTCCTTCTTGCTACAAGACCTGATACATCCTCCATGTCCAAATTTTCAGGCTTCATTCCATCGGCCAAAACCCAATCGAAGTGATAGAGAAGCATCGCCAACGGGAGCTCGACGTTGGCGAGGCCGAATGCTATTCCCGGGCAAATCCTTCTTCCGGCGCCGAAAGGGATGAATTCGAAGTTGTTTGTCTTGTAATCGACTTGATTATCAAGAAATCTCTCCGGAATAAAACTATCCGCTTCATTCCAGTATTTCGGATTTCTTCCAATAGACCAAGCATTCACAAGGACCCTTGTGTTTGAAGGTATTTTGTATCCGTGGATTTCGCACGGCTTGGAGCTCTGTCGAGGAAGGAGCAACGGCCCGGCAGGGTGCAACCTTAGAGTCTCTTTAATGACTAACTTTAGGTACTTTAGCTCATTAAAGAAAGACTCGTGGAATAGTCCCTTATTGTTGAATACGTGTCTCACCTCATCTTGCGCCTTCTTAAGAACGGTCGGGTGTTTCAGCATCTCTGCCATGGCCCAATCTGTAGTTGCGGCAGATGAATCAAATCCTCCGGTGATCATATCCTATATTCATAAGTATCGTAGCGTAAAAATTAAGATGAAAACTACAAAATAAGAAACATGTTCAAAAAGTTTAGTGTCATGCCTGCAGCACAGCTTTTACGCTCTCGATAGTCAAATGGTGTTCGTGTCCTTCTTCGTTGAACTTGAGGAGAACATCGACTAGATCTTCTTGTCGTTGTTTGCTTTCAAGATTAGCTGCTTTGTGCTCATTGATGATATTTTCAAGGATTGTATCGATAATTTTGTGCAACCTATTTGCCCTGCTTCTCATTGTACTGAATAGTCGAAACAATCTCATCGAAGGATAAAAATCTTCCAAAGAGAATTCCGAGGCAAGGTCATTAATGTCTTGGATTCGAGCAATGTAGGCGGATAGTTCTTTCGTCATACTCCCAAACGTCGCCTGCATTAGAACATTACATATCGCCGAATACATCTTCTCTGTCAAATTGATCGATTCCCCTTCTTTAGAAGCTATCCATTTGCACATACTCGAAATTGCCTTTTCCCTTAAAGGTTGAAACGATAGAACTCGTTTCGGGCTCAGTAGCTCCATTGTGCAGATTTTCCGCAACTGTCTCCAGTATTCACCGTATGAGGAGAATGCTATATCCTTTTGCTTGTAGAATATAAGCGATGTGCTGACGAGCCACGGTCTATTCGCAAAGATGATGTCGTGTGTCTTCAGGACTTCTTGCGCTGCCTCGGCCGAGGAGATAACAATGGTGCTAACTTGGCCGAGCTGCAAGTGCATCACCGGTCCATGTTTCGCGGCCAAGTCACTTAATACTTGATGGGTCGAACCGGAACTAGTGAGGAGATGGTTCAAGTTCCCGATCAACGGCAACTTTCTTGGCCCCGGTGGGAGATTCGAGTTCTCGTCGGGTTTCGACCGGAGGATAACTTTGAAGAAGGCTGCAAGAAATATGAAGAAGGTAAGAGGAGTTAGTAAAGATGAGAAATCGATATACATAACGGAACTCTTTTAGATCTTTGCATTAATTTGTGAGAGATGGTAAAATAGAGCTAAATGTGAAGAACATAGGGCGATTTTTATTGTGCTGAAAGCACATATTTTATCTCTCAATTTAAATATCATTTTTACCATTTTCATTTCAAAGAATATTTTTTTTATTTCAGAAAATATAGTCATACATATCAAAATACCTTTAATTTTTACCTAAATTACAAACACAAATTTACACATATAATTACTTTGTACATAAAGCTATCTCCAATCCACAAACACTATTTATATAGGTTTAACTCTGAAAAATACAGTTGCTACAGTATTTTTACTTCAACCCACAATTCTATTTTTTACTCCAAAAATAATATTCTTCAAAATATTTCATTAGCAAACTCTATTTTTTGTGTCAAAAATAGCGTTCCATTGGAGTGCAAAAGCTCCATATATGCAGCAATTGCACCAAAAAAAGGCAGCCCATTGGAGATGGTCTAAAGTCAAAGGGCAAAAATATCAAAAAAATTTTACATACTTTCGTTAACTAATAAAATACTATTATTTGTTAATTTACTACAAAACCCCAAAGAGCCCCTTTAATAAGGGACAGAAAGAGTATAATATATAGTAGTAGTACAAGAGATGTAAATCGATAGTACAATATAAATATTTCCATATATATGTATTATGTAAAATTATTATCATATATTGTCGGATCGATCACAGATTACATGTGTTAACTTAACCTACTTCTTCTTTATCAATTTATACATTAAATTTGTATTATATTAACATAAATATGTATTATCGATATATATTTTATGTATTGTCAACATGGTAGTGATGAATTGCGGCAAGAAATATAAATATTGCACATGAAGTCGGGAATTTTAAAGATATGATGCTTATGACTTGTCCTCTTAGGATCCAATTTTTTAGGGCACATGTTCTTGGGACTACTAACATTTTTCTAATATTTTAATTTGTTTCCTTGTGATTACTAAAACAATTTGAATATTTTGTCAGAAAATTTCAGATACATTAGGTAAAGAGAATCAAAAATATAATGTAGTGTTATATGGCAAAATTAGTTATGATGTTTATAACCACTAAATATCTTTTTATGCTAATTTCATACCAAAATGATGAGCCATATATATTTTATAATTTTTCTGTAGCTAAATTTAAAGTAATATTAATTTTTTTTTTTTTTATCGTAGTGTTATCTGATATATATTTTCTATTTTGAGCAAATTTTATTATTATTTTTATTGTACAAAATTTATTATAAATATGCATAATTAAATATCATATATTTATTTAATTGAGATTTTATTTCTTTCAAAATCATATATGTAAATAAAGTTATTTGTTAATAGCTACCTATATAACAACTTATTTTTCATATTAAAACATTGTAAAATTTATTTATATCGTATTAAATACTCATTTATATTCTTATAGTTTCAAGTGTCTTCTCATATAGTTATCACATCCCATAAGCACAATAACACAACATATAGAAGTCTAACTCATCAGATTCTATCAAAACTTCGAAGTCAATTGTGATTGAGCGAGAATAATATTAGGATGAATAACTTTATTTGTGTGGAATCTATCGTTATATTATATTAAACAATTATTTAAATTTAAAGGTTTAGGGTTTGGATTCGGCAGGCGAAGAATCGCCAAGAGAGAATTTGAGGGGTGGGGGTGGTTGCTTAGTATGTTATATTTAATTTGAGTTTTTTTTATTATTATTTTTCACCAAATTATAGAAAATATAATAAAATATTTTTTATAAAAAAATATGGTAAAACTATTTAATATATAAATCAAAAAATATATATATGGATGATTTATTCTTTTTAAATATAACTTTGTTAATATATGATAAATATTGATTAATTAAAAACTTCTGTATTTTTAAAATAAATCAGTCAAACATATTCCATAATTAATAGGTGTTACTAAAATATTTGTGATCTATTTTTTAAAAAAATAAATTCATAAATTGGGGGTTAAAGATAAGTTGTTGTAATAAACTGTATTAATTTATGAAATATTATTCTCCAATTAATTTTATAAATAATGACATATTGATAAAGATGTATCAACCTCTTCTTGTCCTAATTACATCATTTTTATATTCATCACGTGAATAATTAAATATAATACATCATATTGTTATTTTATCAGAAGTATATTTAGTTGTTACAAATAATACTTAGTATATCAAGTTTAATTTGTATATATTGGATAAATTCTTTTTTTTCTCTTTAATTAAAATATCATAAAGAAAAAAAAAATCGATTCCTAAATTATTTTTTTATCACAATAAGCTACAAGATCAAAATATATATCGATCCAACGAATATCATTAATTCAGCATTGTGTTAAACTCAGTACATGCACATAAGGGTGAGCAGTGGTCGATTCAAATAAAAGAAATCGAATTTTTTTTTTTTTGTTCGGTTGGTTCGGTTTGGTCCAAAACCGAATTTATAAATTTCGATTTCGGTTCTGTTATGATTTTCAATTTTTAATTTTGATTAACCGAAAAACTGAACTTTTAAAAATAATAAAAATTATATATTAATAAATAATATATATTATAATTTTGAGTATTTGTATTTGATTGTATATTAAAAATATATATTAATAAATAAAAGTTCGATTTCTTCGATTTTAAATCGAACCGAACCGAACTAGTTTGATTTGATTTATTTGATTTTGAAAAATTTTGGTTCGATTTCGATTTCAATTTTTATAAATCGAAAATCGATCAAAATTGAAAGTTCAGTTCGATTTGAATCCAACCGACTGAATGCACAACACTATATCAATCACCGTTAACCAAATTATGGAGCTAACCTAACAAAGGTAATATTCCTTCTAAAACAAGCATACTATACAAAAAAGGACGATCTAAAGTACACAATTCGAACATAAAACAACTATTTTAACCTTAAAATTAAACACTATCGTTTAACATTGATTTTTTTCCCCCTAAAACAATTTATCTATTCGACTATTCCAACATTTTTATTTTTATTTTTATTTTCATTTAAAATATCAGTCAACCAATTTTTTTATCCGGAAATCATAATAATTGGAATCTACAAATTAAATACAAACAAGTGCTTAAATTTTAAATTTTCATTAATGAACTAATAAATTATTTGAACGGATTAGTTGAATACATAATAAATTGATTATAGAACTATTTAACATGTGGTGCAATCTCTTCAAATCTCCTAAATATATAAAAATTTGTGTTTGTTTGCAGGGTTTTATTAAATTTTTACTGTTTATAAAAATATTTTTTTTCAAAAAATATCAAATCAATGAGTTATAGTTGTTGTCTTCTCTAGAAAGATTGGATGTTTAAACTCATAATTTTACGATCACAAGTTTATTCCATAACATGAAGTCAACTCTTACCGGATATATTATTTTAATTTGTTTCTTAATAATATTAATACATTATTTTCCTTCACATCATATCATTATTAATTTTCCGACCAAATTATTTTTATATGAAATTCTATCTGTAATGTCTATTCCTACAAATGATGAGTATTTTATATTATAGATAATTGAAAGATACACTAATGACTCAAAATTAGTGTATTAAAGTAGATTAAGAAACACTATTTCATAGCTTTATTTACATAAGAGTTTTGGAGAATTTTAAAAATTAGAATAAAAAGTTTGATAGGTTTGACGTGAGTTTTTTTAATAAAAAAAACAAATATATTGATATGATTTTTAATATATATATATATATATTATTAATGAATAGTATAAAAAATTTTAAAACATTTATATATTTATAAACAAAGTTACTAGGAACTCAAATAATTATCTCAACATTCTTTGAAATGATTCAATTGTGCAATTCTCATTACATTATTTTCCCAAGTAGAATTTTGATAGCAAAAGACGGGCGGACAAACTCGATTTCATAAGTTTGTTTTATATTTTTTGTTGAAATTATGCAAAAAGACAAACTCTTTTTTCATCTATTTTTGTCATATAAGTAATACTGCAGGTCTGTTGTTGCAACTTATATTTGACGCGGTTTTAAAAAATCTGCAGATAATCAAAGAGTTGACCGAATGATTCACTTGGTTGCATTAAAATGTGTCTTATGTTGGAACGAGACAAACAAACTTGTCTCAACTACCATTCAATTACATAACCCACAAGTAAACAAATATATATATATATATATATACATACATACATATTGATCGGAGGGAAAAAAGAATAAATAGATTTTGATAATAAAAGATATTTAAATATTTTTTAAAAAATAAATAAATAAATAACAAAAACCTGGTATATTATCTGGCTTTTCTCTTTTTTTTTTACAAAAAAAAAATTATAAAACATTAAAATTAATGTTATTATAAGAGAAAATTCAAATAAAAAAATTCTAACGGAAAAATGTCTTACAAAACATCAAAGTTAATATCATTAAAAGATAAAATTCAAATCAAATCAAAATCTTTTTTTAAGAAAAAAAAAAAAAGGCCAAATTGAACCAAATTTACCCGTGGTGTCACAAAATTACGTTAAATTTCTATATTTTTAAAATTGTGTCAAAGTCCCTCGTGATTCATAGTGTATGTGTCTAACTCCTTCGGTCATCATTACGTAACGGTATTTGTTATGTACTCTAAACATTTGAAATTATAAATATACTCATTATTATTATATTTAACTTCAAAAGAATAATAAATTAATATACTCATAAATATTTGTTTTAGAAATTTATAAATTGAGATTTTGATATTCAATGAGTAGTTTGTGCAATGCAGATCAAACGCCTTTTAAATAAGAAAGGTCAAGAAGTTAGACTCTAAATTGATGGAACATGAAAGAGTTTGACGCTATTTAAAAAGTACGAGGGATTTGACGTAATTTTATAAAACAAAACGTAAATTTTGTGCAATTAAAAAAAACAAAAAAAAAAATAAAAACAAAAACAATTACGATACTAGACCCAGTCACAAAGAAATAATGCCAATATATCTTCTTTCATTACAGTATGATTATTGAAACAATTATGACATCGAGCACATATGAATATACTCAGCTGAACTTGCAAATGCACACAAGAAGCTAATCAAAGATATCCCAAAGAGCTCAAAAAAATGGATTTTGATTTATCCTTCGTTACTTTATTTTCCTTCTTCCTATTTATGGCCGTGTTCTTAAGATTAATCACTCGATCCGTACCCGATCCGAATTCGAAACTTCCTCCAGGGCCGAGAAAGCTGCCGCTGATCGGGAACTTGTACCAGCTCATCGCCAGTTCGAAACTGCCACACCAATTGCTGACTGACTTAGCCGAAAAATACGGGCCGGTGATGCATCTGCAGCTCGGCGAAGTTAGCACTGTCGTGATTTCATCGCCCGAGGCCGCAAAAGAAGTCATGAAAACGCACGACATAATCTTTGCGAACAGACCAGTGCTCCTCGTAACAGATATAGTACTTTACAAGAATTCAGATATAGCTTTTGCCCCATACGGCGAATACTGGAGACAGTTGCGCAAGTTCTGTACTGTTGAGCTATTGAGCGCGAAACGAGTCCAATCGTTTTGCGCTCTAAGAGAAGAGGAGTTTATGAATTTAAGTCGATGGATCGCATTTAATGCAGGGTTGTCGATCAATTTGACAGAGAAGATCTGCCTGACTACTTGTGATGTTGCCATGCAGGCATCGATTGGGAAAAAGGGCGACGAGCTAACTGAATTCACGTCGATAGTGAAGGATACTACGGAGCTTGCTTCGGGGTTTTATCTGGCTGATTTGTATCCTTCGATCAGTTTGTTTCGACGATTCAGCGGCGCAGCGCACAAGGCAGAGAAGCTGCAGAAATTATCGGACCGGATACTTCAGAACATTATCGATCAACGGCAAGAAAGCGCGAATGGATCGAAAGAACAAGACGACTTTGCCGATGTTCTACTCAAGTCTAGGAATGAGCTACAGCTGACTAATGACTATCAAAGCTGTGATACAGGTTTGTCACTGAACTCATAAGTACAGCGGCAAAATTAGGAATGTCAAATTGGCGGGTTAGCCCGGATCCGCTTTTAGTAGAGCGGGTTCGGGTCTAAAACGTATACTTCAAGGCGGATTACGTCTGGCCTGCCGTCAACGACCATGATTGCAGACCACCGTCAATATTTGATTATTCTTATTTTTTGAACTAAATTTTTTTGGTACTTTAACATTTATTTTTTGTTAGTATTAAATTATTAAGATAATTTATATTTTATAAAAAAAAATAAAAAATAAAAAAAAAACCAAAACGGATTTGCTAGTTTAGTTTGAACCGAAAGGGTTCGGGAAGGGACGGGTCCCTAAGCCTGTAGAACTGTCCCGAACCTCGCCCCGTTGATATTTCTAGCCAAAATGGGTTGAATCCCTCAAATTGATCCATCCCTCTGTCATTCAAATTTGTACTCGTCTTTGTAAAATACAAAAGGAAATGACCAAATATTTTGATGAGGTAATAATATTTTAGACCCCGCTAGAATATGGATTTAAACAAGTCAAATCACACCATGAATTAACACATATTAAGCGGGCTAGCCCACGGACCTAATAAATATAATAATTACTATTAATTATATCATAATATAATATATTTTAACATTATATCTTGTAAGAATTTTAAAATATTTTATTTTAAAGTAATCATTTTATTTATTAAAATATTTTACATTAGTTTAAACAAATTAAGCAATATTGTCTATGTGGTTGGTCTTCTTTTCGAACTCTCCGTCATCAATGTCATTTTTATTTTTCATCATTTGTTTTGTTTAATTCTCACTTGTTCGATGTTCATAAAATATTAATAATAATTTTACTTTCAAAAATTATACACTTATATTTATAACATCAGTTATTATTTCATTTAAAAATTTTACTATTCAGACATTTTAAATCTAAATCCGAACCTTTAAAAAAAACATACACACACTCGTAGATTGTATTGGATATTTGTTAATATACGCCGAGGGAGTCCTTCCAATGTTTTGATTCTTGTCCATATAGGATATCTTCGATGCTGGAATCGAAACATCATCGACAACTACAGTTTGGGCTATGACCGAAATGATGAGAGATCCAAGGGTCCTTAAGAAGGCACAAGATGAAGTAAGAGAGGTTTTCAAGGATAAGGGATTTGTCGAAGAGTCATGTCTCGAAGAGCTAAAGTACCTACATTCGATCATCAAAGAGACTTTAAGGTTGCATCCTCCATTTCCATTTTTGCTCCCAAGAGAAAATTCAGAGCAATGCGAACTCTTTGGATACAAAATACCTTCGAAAAGTAGAGTTATGGTTAATGTATGGGCGATTGGTAGAGATTCAAAGAACTGGAAAGAACCTCATAGTTTTATCCCCGAGAGATTTCTTGATAATCTAGTCGATTACAAGGCAAACAACTTCGAATTTCTTCTCTTTGGCGGTGGAAGAAGAATCTGCCCCGGGATATCATTTGGCCTCGCAAATGTCGAGCTTCCTTTGGCAATGTTTCTCTACCACTTTGATTGGGCTTTGGCTGATGGAATAAAGCCTGAAGATTTGGACATGTCCGAAACCTCAGGAATTACGGCGAGAAGGAAAGATCCATTGTATGTTATTCCGAGAGTGAAGATACCTTTGCCAGTAAAACAAGATTGATAAATCTCATGTTCCAACAGCAATCACTGTATATATTCTTTTTTTCAATAAGGAATTTGTTGTCTGATTGTTTTGTTTTTTCTTCACTTTGTTTTGTTGTCTTCACTTTGTTGCCCATGGATTGAATTACATCTTTGATTCCTATCTAAATGATATGCATTTCTACGTCTTACTTGTATTGATTGGGCTCCGTGTCACATATTCAATACTTCCTTTGAGATGATAATCTCAAAAATTCAAACAAGATAAATACGATATCATATTAACAAGAGATCTGCGTTTTCAACCTAAAACCAATAGACGATAAATGTAGAGGATTTCACTCTTGTAAGTCAGGAGAATTCCTACCTCATATCCAATATAGGACATATTCAACACGTATTCCAAAGATAAAATCAACCTTAGAAATAAGAAACAGAAAGTAGTACAAAACAATGAAAATAAAAAGCTCATAATCACAGTAACTTCGAAATACTCGAACATAGCATAGATCGATCCTTAATTTGCAGGCAAAGGAATCCTGACTGCTGGAATAACGTACAATGGATTTTTCCTTCTTGCTACAAGACCTGAGACATCCGCCATGTCCAAATTTTCAGGCTTCATTCCTTCAGGCAAAACCCAATCGAAGTGATAGAGAAGCATCGCCAACTGGAGCTCGACGTTGGCGAGGCCGAATGTTATTCCCGGGCAAATCCTTCTTCCGGCGCCGAAAGGGATGAATTCGAAGTTGTTTGTCTTGTAATCGACTTGATTATCAAGAAATCTCTCCGGAATAAAACGATCCGCTTCATTCCAGTATTTCGGATTTCTTCCAATAGACCAAGCATTGACGAGGACCCTCGTGTTCGAAGGTATTTTGTAACCATTGATTTCGCATGGCTTGGAGCTCTGTCGGGGAAGGAGCAACGGCCCGGTTGGGTGCAACCTCAGAGTCTCTTTAATGACTAACTTTAGGTACTTTAGCTCATTAAAGAAAGACTCGTCGACAAGTCCCTTATTGTTGAATACCGATCTCACCTCATCTTGCGCCTTCTTAAGAATGGTCGGGTGTTTCAGCATCTCCGCCATGGCCCAATCGGTAGTTGCTGCAGCTGTATCGAATCCTCCGGCGATCATATCCTATATTCGTAAGAATCATAGTGTTAAAAGATGAGAAATCCAACATAAGAAGAAACATGTTATTTTTCGAAGAGTTTAATGTAATGCCTGCAGCACAGCTTTTACACTCTCGATAGTTAAATGCTGTTCGTGTCCTTCTTCGTTGAACTTGAGGAGAACGTCGACTAGATCTTCTTCTTGATTGCTTTCACGATTCGCTGCTCTGTGCTCAATGATGATATTATCGAGGATTGTATCGATAGTTTTGTGCAACCTATTAGTCTTCCTTCTCAATGTATTGAATAGTCGAAACAATCTGATCGAAGGATAAAAATCCTCCAAAGAGAATTCCATGATAAGGTCATTCATGTCTTGGATTCGATCAATGTAGGCCGATAGTTCTTTTGTCATACTCCCAAACGTCGCCTGCATCAGAACATCACATATTGCCGAATACATCTTCTCTGTCAAATTTATCGACGACCCTTCTTTAGAAGCTATCCATTTGCACATATTCGAAAACTCTTTTTCCCTTAAAGGCTGGAACCATTGAACTCGTTTCGGGCTTAGCAGCTCCATTGTGCAAATTTTCTTCAACTGTCTCCAGTATTCGCCGTACGGGGAGAATGCTATATCCTTTTGCTTGTAGAAAATAATCGATGTGTTGACAAACCACGGTCTATTCGCAAAGATGGTGTCGTGTGTCTTCATGACTTCTTGCGCCGCCTCGGCCGAGGAGATAACAACGGCGCTAACTTGGCCAAGCTGCAAGTGCATCACCGGTCCATGTTTCGCGGCCAAGTCACTCAATACTTTATGGGTCGTAGCAGAACGAGCGAGGAGATGGTTCAAGTTCCCGATCAACGGCAACTTTCTTGGCCCCGGTGGAAGATTCGAAGTTTCGCCGGTTTTCGACCGGAGGATAACTTTGAAGAATGCTGCAAGAAATATGAAGAAGGTAAGAAGAGTTAGTATAGATGAGAAATCTGTATCCATAATTGAACTCTTTTAGATCTTTGCTCTAAGTTGTGAGAGATTATCACAGTTAGGGGCTAAAAATGGAGATATCTATGTACAAACCTAACAATTTTGGTTGTTTATATTGATTTGAACTGTCCAAAATGAATAAAGGCAAATTAATATTTGTATCTTTTTTTTTTTTTTTTTTATTTTATGATCATCGTATTGGCTGTTTGTTAGTATAGGTGGATCCCATGTGATGTATGGTAATATAATACTTTTGCAATATATTACAGACAAAATATGACATTAGTCCAAACAATATCTCTGCACATAAGCTATTTTATTATAGTACATAAGTTAAACAATGAAGACAGTATATGCTAAAAATCTATATAGCACATGCTACTGCTGTCAAATTATATTTGATGTTCTGGTTAATAATAATCAACATCCTAACCTCTTTCCATCAAATCATATACTCCCTCCGTCACGCAGCAAAGTTGTCATTACTTTTTTTGCATGTTTATCTTTGAATATTAATTATTATACGAAGACGTAATACAAATCAAGAAAAAAAAAAGACAAAAATATGTTTATTAATCTCTTATAATATCGATACAATAACATTTTAGAGTAAATTATTTAAATATAAAGATATTTTTAATGCCAAGTACAATGAAGTAAAAATTAAATGACAATCTTGCAGCGGGACGGAATGAATAATTAATTTACTCTAAGATACATATTCGTGCATGTCAAGGCCCTCTCGCGGGGTTGGAGGGGTAGACCCTTATTTTCCGATAGCAAATTAAACTACCATAAAATTGGGTTAAAGTAGCCGAAAAAGAAGTCGTTGTTTTAATACAAATTGATGAGTTTGTATTTAAAAGTCACGAAAAAATATACGAAACTATTTCCGTAGAATTTTATTGGTGATTTTTTTCTAAATTAATGATATTTCTATGACAATAAGTTACAGATATTCATGACTTTATATAGCAACAGAAACTATAATAAAATTTAGTGACATTTTTATTACAATAAGTTACAGAATAGTATCATTACACTTGATTTTATATTAGGGGAAGTTGCAACAATTTTGTGATTTTATATTTTTTAAAAGAAAAATTATTATATTCTAATTATTGGTTAATACAATCCCACACAATTTAGCTAACTACTTTAATGTGTTTTATATATATATATATATATATATATTATAACTATATTATTTTTAAATTCATGTCCTCACTGTCATAAATTCACTCTCCACACAGCCGCATAATGTGTTGTTGTTGTTATATAGTAATGTCAGCGTTGTTCTGAATTTAAAAATTCAAGTGTTTTATTTGTGTTATATTAACACAAATAATGTGCTAATTATTGTTACATAATACGTTGTTTGTTGTTACATAGTGATTTCAGCATTGTTCTGAATTACTTTAAAAAAAAAAAAATTCAGCATATTAACAACCCCTAATTTTAATCCACACAATGTTCAGTGAACCTACCTACTCAGTAGTAAATAACCGAATTAAAAGTATAATATCAATACGAATAATACATATATTTATTCCAATTATTTCTTTTATATTTGATAAGTCGATAGAATTATCCAAATTATTTTTTTTAACCACATAAAAACGCACATTTATTATTTTTTTAATGCATTTTTGATAAATCTTCGATCGAACTTGATTGTCTGCGAATGAATTAAACCGATCAGACAAGTCACACTAGGCTTAACTATAAATTTGAAAAAAAAATTCAATCTATTGAGAATCCGATCCAAACAATCAAACATAAGTTTTTTTTATATCTCTGCATGCAAATTGGGAACTATTAAAAGACAGCATATATATATATATATATATAAAGATAAGATTCTGCTCCATTCGTTAATTAATTGAAATTGCGATCTCGATTTCTGCATATGATAACAGACCACTTGCCACTAATAATATAGAATAAATTAATTAATTTTTATCACTAATAATTACAAACAAAATTAATTACAGACCACTTGTCACTTTAGTAATGTATATATATATATTAATGATTTTTATGATGAAAAACATTTTTTAATATAATATATTAGATATAAAGTAATATATTTTTGTACATGTGATTTAATCATAGTATCAAAGTTGTTATTATGTCTTAACATATAAGTAATATTTAAGTCCATTGGAAAAATAAGTCATGACAAGAGGTCGACTTTTCTGAGTCTTTTGGGAGCAGGAATTCATAAAATCACAGTAGGTAAGCATAACTTTTAACACATATTGTTCGATAGTTATATATCCATGTGTCACAAGACTATATGCAAACAAATGCAAACAAATGCAATATAAAGAACACCTTATGTTTGTTGACCCAAGTTTGATATCAAATCTACATTTAGGGGATTCCAAACTAAAATATATTCACCGACAAACATCCACAAATACGTAATAACAATAACAAAGCACTCTTCGCTCGCGTAAAGGATGATCCGTTAGTGTAGGGATAAACTCATAAATTCGTGAGGTCATAGGTTTAATTTGTTTGTCATACATTATTAGTCTAATAATGTGATTTGTTTTGTCAAACCTACTTTTCAAGTTATTAGGTTCGACTTAGGGTGTGTTTGTTTGTGGATTTTAGGTTTTTGGTTTGAATTTTTAAATAGTGAAAAATTGAATTTGAATAGTTGATTGATGTGATATAAATAGATATTGACGTGATATTTTGAACGTAAAATAAATTCATAGTATAATATAAAAAATAATAATAATAATATTTGTTTGATGTGATATTTTTGAAAAAATAAATAAATCTGAATAGTAAAAACCTACAGTGAAAATCACAAAAAAACATATAATCTTAAGAGTTTACCCAAAACCTGAAAGAGTAGTACCAAAGTCATTAATGATGCTTTCAAGCGTAATGGTTTAATATCTTCAATTAAATTGCTCGTATAAATTTAGAACAATTAGTAACAGTAGCAGTGCTGCCTATATATGTTTGCATTCAGCCCAAATTTTCCCAAATTCGATCTAAAAAGAGTTCAATTATGGATATCGATTTTTCATCTTCACTAACTCCTCTTACCTTCTTCATATTTCTTGCAGCCTTCTTCAAAGTTATCCGCCTGTCGAAAACCGACAAAACTTCGAATCTTCCACCTGGGCCAAGAAAGTTGCCGTTGATCTGGAACTCGAACCATCTCCTAACTAGTTCCGGTACGACACAATTTTTGCGAATAGACCGTGTCTCATCAATGCATCGATTTTATTCTGTGAAAATAAGGATATGGAATTCTCCTCGTACGGCGAATACTGGAGACAACTGCCCAAGATCTGCACAATGGAGCTGCTGAGCCCGAAACGAGTTCAATCTTTTCAGCCTTTAAGGGAAAAAGAAGCATTGAATATGTGCAAATGGATAGCTTCTAAAGAAGGGTTGTCGATAAATTTGACAGAAAAGATATACTCGATGGTATCTGATGTTCTCGTGCACGCGTGCTTTGGGAATACGACGACAGATTTATCGTCCTTCGCTTCCAAAATCTAGGAAATGAATGACCTTACTTTGGGATTCTCTTTGGAAGATCTTTATCCTTCATTTGGTTTGTTTCGACTATTCAATAGGTCGAGGAGCTGGGTGAAGAGGCTGCACAAAATATCCGATAGGATTCTTGCAAATTTCATCGATGACCACAAATCCGCCAATTGTGAAAGCAAACGGCAAACCATTAAATTTTTCAAATATATATACATACTTCTATGTTAAATGATCATCTCACCTGAAATCTAAACTGATAAAAAAATGCTACCATTAATTAAAAAGAGAAAGGCTTTTTTCCCCGGCGAGCTTTCTCTAGTAAAGCCAAAGACGCCCCAAGAAAGATGACCAAGTGACATATTGTATATGGCGACGACAACAGCATGTCGTAGAAGGAGATAATGTTAGATTTCTATACATTATAATGCTATGATACATTGACATGTAGGATTTGATCGTCGCAGGATTCGATTCATGCGCATCAACGACAGATTGGACGATGGTGGGGATGCTGAAACAACCAAAAATCCTTAAGAAGGCGCAAGATGAAGTGAGAAGCGTATTCGATAGGCAAGGGAAATGTCGATGAGTCTTACTTCGATGAGCTAAAATATCTCAACTTAGTCGTCAAAAAGACTTTCAGGCTGCACCCTTCTGCGCCATTACTCCTTCCGCGACAAAACTCCAAGCCGTGTGAAATCCAAGGCTATAAAATACCTTCTAACACAAGGGTCCTAGTGAACACTTAGTCTATTGGGAGAAATCCGAAACACAGGAAAAATGAGGATCAATTTATTCCCGTGGACGTAGCCAACCCGTTGTTGATGAACCACGTAAAAATCTGTGTCTTCTTTATGTTTCTATTTCTTATTCGATCTTTAATCCTTTTGGAATCGAACCTGAAAATTTGGACATTAAAATTTGGACATGTTTGAAACCTCAGGCCTTGTACTATTTTCAAAACCTTAAAAATATTACTACACACACTGCAAAAAAAAATTAGTATATTTGTAACGGAATTCCGTTCCTAAAGTTCACGTAGCTAACATAATTCCATCACTAATTCTGTCTCTAATATCGTTAGTAACGGAAAAAGTGAATTTAAGAACGAAAAAATTTCGTTACAAAATTGATATTTTTTTGTAGTGAAAAAACGCAAACGTGCTTAAATTTTAAGCTTTTCTTAATGAACTGATAAAATGTTATTTGAATGAATCGTTGAATACATAATAAACTAATTATAGGATCTATTTAACATGCCGTGGAATCTTTTTCCAACTCCCTATGATATCTTTAAAAAGTAACGTGTTCCTTAATATTCTGCTTCATTAATTAATTAATTGAGATTGCAATCTTGAAATTAGAAAATACAAATTCAATAAAATAAAGTGATGAGAGCAATCACGAAGGATCATATATTATTTTCTACGCATTCATATCCAATGTTGATTGAGTCATAATACCTCCGAAAGTAAATAAAGATTTTTATATAATCTTTCAATATTAATTATTATATCAAAATACAGTATAAATTAAAAAAAAAAAATATCTCTGTCA